TCTTCTCTGTCTCGTTCCCACAAGGACCGACCACCCCTGCCTTAGTTTCTGCTTCTCCCAGCGCTCTCACTGGTCAACAGTAGGCATATCAGCTGATTATGTCTTTGGTCGGGTAACATCTCTACTTGAGGAAGAAGAAAGGGGCACACCAGCCTTGTTCTCTCCTCCCGGCCTCAGCTGAGTGCTGCGCCCTGGCCTTTTGTATCTTTTGAAGTCTCTCGGCCGATTCTTTTCATTCCTAATTTGCTGAGGACCTCTTTTTTAAAAAAATGTTGGTCTCCTGCTCTCTCCTTAATTGCCAGTGGGATGTGTGCATCTGGCCAAGCAGCGGTGTCATGTTGATTGGGACTATTCAGGAACAGCTCTACAGAAGCCCGTTCAACCGCGCTTTTGGGTGGCTGATGGGGTCACAATTACCGGGCAGACTATTTCCGGACACACGCGTTGCTGCCTCTGAAATATTGCCTTTGCGGAAACACGGAGAGCTTTGTTAAATCGTCTGGCCAAGGGCACTGTTCATCAGAAGGATGGAGAGAGGAGGTGGAAGCTCAAGAGGGAAACGCTGGAATGCTGACCTCGTTCTGTTGCTCGCTCAAGGCCTGAAGTCTGAATCCAGCTGATAACGTTGTTCCAAAGCAGGCCAGGTTCAGAGTATAGACCAGGATCCTGGGAGAACTGGTTCCAACTCTACTCAGATGCCATGTGTACCTGTGTTATCCTGAATCAGACCATTGGTCCATCGAGGGGAGTGTTGTCTACCCAGACTGGCAGTAGCTGTCTTAGCATCTCAGGCAGAAGATGTTCACATCACCCCAGTGTTCCCTCTAAGCTGAGTTAGTGTGAGCTAACTCACAGTTTTTTAGCCTCCAACTCACACATTTTTGTCTTAGCTCAGGAAGGGTGGCTCCAGAGCAAACTGATTTACGCAGCAGCCATATCGCTCACTCCCAACTTTAATGCCAGTAGCTCACAAAGTAGGATTTTTGCTCACAAGACTCCACAGCTTAGAGAGAGCATTGCCTAGTACCTAATCCTTTTAATTAGGGATGCCAGGGATTGAGCCTGGGACCTTCAGCATGCCAAGCAGAGGCTCTGCCCCTGAACCAGTTGGTACTGAGGCTGACTAATCCACAGGGTTTCCTAGAATGGTGTTCTTCAACTTGCCCACGACCGGGATCCATTGAACTGCAAGCATGTGGCAGGAAGTCATGTGATGTCCATATCATATGAGAGCAGGAGGAGAAGCCACCGTTTTGACCTTGCAGCCGTCAAATACAAGACTTTGAGCAGCAGACCAAAAGAGCTAGAGACAAAAACAAGCTAGGCATCAGGAAGTGTACTCCAGCAAGGAACAAGCCAAGAGTCAGCACCGTATAGAGGGATCCTCTCCACCACTGACTGACCTCAACTGTCTGGTCTTCTCAGCATGCTTCCAAAGAGAGGCCGATGGCATGCAGGTCCTTGAATAAAAATGACAACTCTAAAGGTGCTTGCAAATTAGGAGGAGGAGCTCGGCAACCCACACGGGGGTCCCAAACTATGCTCAGGTACATGTGCAAGGGAGCTATGACTGGCCACATCTCCTGCAGATTTAATGGCTGTTCTTCACACGCGGCAGAAGACGTCTGGAGAGCATGAGCACAGTCCAGCTGCCATGGAAACTGTGGAAAGGTGTCTCCAAGCTGGAAAAGGCCTCTGGCTTAGGCTTTGAAGACACGCTGGTACCTATCAGGACTGATGGTGTGAGCTAAATAGAAATGTTTGGTGGAGACCAGCAAGTTTGGAGGCTGCAACTGCCCTTTTCTTTCTCGGATTAGTCCCTGACTGAGCAGAATAACATCATCGTGCTACTTCATTGGTCACCTTGGACTCTTAGATAGCATCAAGGAGACAGAGAGGGTGGAGTACATGGAATATTTTTGCATGCAGTGTCCTCCTCCCAGGGATTGCCCTTTTTAAAAATTTGTGCCAAAAATGTATTGGATTCATCTCAGTTCTAGTCCTGCTCAAATATAGCACTGTCTTCACACTGTGCATATGTTCTTCTTAGTGAAACTCATTTGTCTCTTTGCTCACATCTGTCCATTACAGGGGAGGCTCACATCTGTCCATTACTTCTGGTGCTGAGTGGGCCTCATATGTCACAGCAAAGTGTCCTTAGGTAAAAGTAAAGGTTTCCCTTGCTCGGAAGCCAGTCAAATCCGACTCTAGGGATGCGGTGCTCATCTTCGTTTCCAAGCCGAAGAGCCAGCACTGTCCGAAGACGTTTCTGTGGTCATGTGGCTGGCATGACTAGATGCCGAGGCACACGGAATGCTGTTACCTTCCCACCAAAGCGGTACCTATTGATCTACTTGCAATTTCTTGCTTTCGAACTGCTAGGTTGGCAGGAACTGGAACCAGAGACGGGAGCTCACTCCGTCATGTGGCACTCGGGTCTTGAACTGCTGAACTACCAACCTTCCAGCCTGCAGTTCAGCATCTTAACCAGTGAGCCACCGCAGCTCCTTAAAGTGACCTTAGAATCACAGGCTTGGTCTTAAAAACAGGGATGACCTCCCCCAGATTCTCCAGCACTGGTGTTGCACTTGGCTTGATGGACCAAGGGTCTGATTCAGTATAAAGCAACTTCGTCTGTTCATGTATGTATTCATGTGACACAGAACGAGCTTTTGAGTTCTCCAGAACTTTTTATCAGGCTGGATGTTGTTGTTGTTGTTTTTTTTAAAGCAAGAGTCCAGTTAATACCTTAAAGACTCACAAGATTTGTGGCAGGGTATGAGGTTTCATGAGTCACTGCTCAAGTATCTGCAGAAGTGAGCCGTGACTCATGAAAGTTCATCCCCTGCCACAAATTCTGTTAGACTTTTAGGTGCTACCAGACTCTTGCTCTTTTGTACTGCTGCAGACAGACTAACATGGCTACCCATCTTGATCTTTGTCTATATCTCTCTCTATATATACAGGGGTCATTTTGTAGAAAATGAGGTGCAGGAGCTCATTAGCATAACTCATAACTTATTTGCATATGCCACAATCCCTGACGTCACCGGAAGTGTGTCAGAAGGCAACACCCACCGCTCAGGCTTCACTGGACTGTTTTGGATTCCTAGCTATTGGGGGGGGGGGACGTGCAGATCTGTCCTCACAGAGGAGGGAGAGCTTGTACCTGAATAAAACTTGGTCTTATTTATTTATTTATTTATTATTCACATTTATACCCCACCCTCCCCATAGGCTCAGGGCGGCTTACAGAGGCGAGGCAAAACCTCGCCATAATAAAAACGTAATTTACATAATAAATTTAAAAACAAAGTACATCTTAAAATCCTATACAAACAAAGTGCTCAGTGATGTCATAGTCCAAAGATGACGGATTGTATGTCCGAATTCCAAGTTGACGGCTTAGGGTTTCTTCCATGTTCAGATGTTTCCTCAGGGCTTCATCCAGCCCACCATGGTGATAGTATAGTGGCGGGGGGCGGTGGGGGCTCCTACTCAAAAGCCTGGTGGAAGAGCTCCGTCTTGTAGGCCCTGCGGAACTGCATAAGATCCCGCAGGGCCCGGATCTCCCCTGGGAGCTCATTCCACCAGGTAGGAGCCGCCGCTGAAAAAGCCCTGGTCCTAGTAGCGGCTAGTTTGATCTCCTTGGGGCCCGGAATAGCTAGCAAATTTTGGGCCCCTGACCGTAGTGCTCTTGGGGGAACATACGGGGAAAGGCGGTCCCTCAGGTAGGTTGGACCCTGGCCATGTAGGGCTTTATAGGTAAGAACCAGCACTTTGAAGCGAATCCGGTATGCTATTGGCAACCAGTGCAGCGCTTTCAGCGCAGGCTGAATGTGGTCCCTTCTAGAGAGACCCATTAACAGCCTGGCTCCAGCATTCTGCACCAGTTGCAGCTTCCAGATTTGCGACAGAGGCAGCCCCATGTAGAGAGCGTTGCAGTAGTCTAGCCTCGAGGTGACCGTCGCATGGATCACTGTGCCCAGGTCATCGCGGTCAAGGTAGAGGACCAACTGCCGTGCCCGCCGCAAATGACAAAAGGCGGACTTGACAGTAGCTGCCACCTGGGCCGCCATTGTTAATGTGGAGTCCAGGAGCACCCCTAAACTCCGTACCCCAGACGCTGGCACCAAAGGTACCCCATCGAAGGTCGGGAGAGGGAGCCCTAACCCCGCCCCGGTCCGACTCAGGCCCAGGACCTCCGTCTTCGCCGGGTTTAGTTTCAGTCGGCTCAGCCGGAGCCAACCAGCCACGGCTTCTAATGCCCGGTGAAGATCATCGGGACTCGAGTCCGACCGGCCACCCAACATCAGATAGAGCTGGGTGTCATCTGCATACTGATGACACCCAAGCCCATAACTCCGGGCAATCTGGGCAAGGGGGCGCATATAGATGTTAAATAGCATCGGGGACAACACTGCTCCCTGTGGTACCCCACACTCAAGGGGATACCTACGGGAGCGTTGATCCCCAAGAACCACCCTTTGTCCCCGACCTTGCAGGAAAGAGGCAAACCATTGAAGGGCAAGCCCCTGAATCTTAAAGGTGCCACTGGACTGTTTTGGATCGGGGGGCCGGGTGGGGGGCTCTGCAATTTACCTGGCTGCTTCTTGCTCTGACTGAGGGCTGCTGGGAGCAGGGGGTGGGGCTTGTTGCATGTGCCCGCCCCCTGGGCTCTTTACTTCCGGAGCTCTGCTCCTGTGCGCTCCTGCAGGAAATGACCGGGTGGGAGAGGTCCCCTTTTCTGCATTGTGTAGGGGTGCCTGTGGGATACTTAGCCGATTTCACTGGGCACAGAATGGGTATCAGGTTGTGTCCCCCGATATGCTGGGAAGAAGAAACACGCAGGCATTCCCTGTGGCTAGCCACAGTTTTGCTAGGGGAAGGCCTCTGTTAACGTGTCTTCCAGAGAGCTGATGATGATGTTCAACTGGCAGGCTCGACAGCTACACCACGCGCTAACCATGCTTGCGTTTCCATTCCCTCTGCTCTCCTAGGGGCTCCACTTTCTCCTCAGACGTTAGCATCCACTCAAGATTATTCCCAAGGTCCTGGGGTAAGTACTTGAGGATGCCTCTGGGATTCCCGTCAGTTGGCTCGTTGCAAGAAACCAGGCGGCAGGGAATAGTGTAATTGAATGTTAAGTTCCTGAACTTCTGAGAGCTGAGACATTCATTATTTCTGAATAAAAATGGGAGACTCACTTCACTATAACCCCACCCCCAAAAGCTTTACTTTAGAGTAAGAATGAGCTACTCCCAGAGGACAGAATCTCGATGTCTTCGGGAGTGCATTGTGGATATGCTTCCTCTAGCAACATTGGAGTGATCCATTCATACCTGATCCAGGGAAGCAGCAACGTTTCCTGTCTCCAGCACAAGCTGATTATGAGGAACAAGGCCAGACCAGTGAATCCTGCAGAGATGCAGTGAACACTTTCCTCTGTGGGTAATTCTACTTGTTCTCTGCTCCGGGGCTAATTGAACGAGCCAATCATACCCAGTACACAGAACTGGGAAATGATCTGCCCTCGCCCAGAGGTTAATTGGAAGGGGGCAGATGCAGACCGCTACATCACGCAGAGAGGCAGCAGGAGGCCGGATGCCTCCTCTGTTGTTGGGAACCTGATGCTCACTAGGAGCTTTAATATTCTAAAAATGTTTTGTTTCTCACAGCACATTTTTTGGGACGTTATTGGCTTACTGTTTTGTTTTTTTAATTTTGTTCTAAGCACGAACTTCCAATTCTTGTCATGTTTCACGGAGGGCAGCTCTTGGTAAATGAAGGAGCTTGGCTCCCACAGAGAAATGGCAGGAGAGAAATAAAGAAGCTTAGCGGGTAAGCTTGCCCGGAAAAGCTGTTGGGATTAGGAGACAGAGCAGAGACAGAGAAGAGGGACGCCCCAGCCCCTCCAGGATATCCCCTTTGCTCTCATGGGATGAAAATGTGATATTGCACTGATCCTGGTTTCATAGGACATGGGAGCAAAAAAGCAGGCCTTGCGCCACTTCCGTTCTCCTTTATTTTGCTTTATGCTTACACAGAAACATTTGCCTTCACTCGTTTGGTTACAGGTGCATCTTGTGGTTGACTGAGTAATGTTTTTTGTAATAATTCTTTCAAAAACAAAGGTTAATACTAATGTGTCTCCTCCACACTATGCACCCGGGAGGGTCTGGAGCTCAAAGTGAGGGGCCCTGGCTCATGGGCAGAGCACCTGCTTTGCATACGAAAGGCCTTCCGTTCCATCCCCAGCCTTTCCAGTCAAAGGATTCCAAGTAGTAGCAGCCTAGGAAGACTTTCCATGTCTCTGAGAACCTTGGGGAGCCAAGTGCATGTCTCAATTCACAGTGCTGAGCTAAAGGAATCGAAGGTCTGACTTGGTGTAAGGCAACATCCTATGTTCTCATGAACACACACGAAACTGCTTTATACTGAATCAGACCATTGATCTATAAGAACATAATGTATGCCAATAAAAGGTATTTGAATTTGAATTTGAATTTATAAGAACATAAGAGATGCCAATGTTGGATCAGGCCAAAGGCCCATCCAGTCCAACACTCTGTATCACACAGAGGCCAGAAATACCAGTGCCATCAGGAGGTCCACCAGTAGAGCCAGGACATTAGAAGCCCTCCCACTGTTGACCCCCCAAGCACCGAGATGACAGAGCATCACTTGCCCCAGAACATTAGAAGCCCTTTCACTGTTGACTCCCATAAGCACCAAGATGACAGAGCATCACTTGCCCCAGAGTCCCTATCTATACCTGTCTATCAAGGTCAGTATTGTCTACACAGACTGGCAGCCACTCTCTAGGGCTCTTATGCAGCCCTGTGAGCAACTAGGGAGGGAACAGGAGACTGCTCAGGGGGGAGTGGGTGGAGCCACTCCGTTGAGGCCTCCGCATGGCGGAACAACCTTGTCTGCAGCAGTCAAGCAGCGTGGGAGCCTCTGCCCAGTGCTGCACCACTGGCTTTCCAGTCTACCCAGATGGGTTTTCCTTTGTACCCCCCTCCCAGCCCATGAAGCCTTGCAGTGAGGATACACCAACGTGGAGCTTACCAGCTGCTGTCCTTTATGGAGCTTATATGCCCGGTACCTGGCATTACAATTTATGGCGCACATGGCCCAGCCCGACAAAGTGACATTTGTGTCAGATCCAGCCCTCGTAACAAATGAGTTTGACACCTCTGATCTACGGGCAAAGCAGAAGCTCTGCTGCTCAGCCACAACCCCTCCCCATCATTACATTCCGGGCCTAAATTTTGATTGTTCGCTCCTTGGGATCAGAGACCTGCTTACATTATTGTCTAAAGTGCCGAGCAGAACAAACGAATTGTATAAAAAGCCAGCGTGGTGCAGTGGTCAGAGAGTGCCCGAGTAGGATCCGGGAGACCCCGGATGGAGTCCCCACTCTGCCATGGAAGCTTGTGGGATAACCTTGGGCCAGCCACACACTCTCAGCCAAACCTATCCCTTACCAGTTTATTGTGAGGCTACCATGGAGAAAGATACAATGCTGGGAAAGATTGAAGGTCAAAGAAGACGGGGCCGGCAAAGGATGAGATGGTTAGACAGTGTCATCGATGCAACGAACATGAAGTTGAGCAAACTTCAGAGGACGGCGGAAGACAGGAGGGCCTGGCGTGATCTTGTCCATAGGGTCGCGACTGAACAACAACAATGGAGAAAAGGAGAAAGATGTAAGCTGCTTTGGTCTCCAGTGGGGAGAGAGGTGGGGTTGCAAGAAGGAGGGTCAAAAGGCTACAATAGGAAAAGGCACACGCTTCCAGCGGTGAAAAGGCTTAAGTCAAAAACTCATGACCCCCGTGCGTACTTACTTCAGAACAAGTTCTGTGTGTCTTCCAAGTAAAAATGTATAGGACTAAGATGCGAGCCCTTGCTGCAGACGAGCTTATTCCCCGCATGCAGTGAGTCAGCGTATCAGAGAGAGGGGCGGTAGTCGATCTGTGACATGCTAGGTCACCACATACAGGGAGCTTCTGAAGGAAGCAATGTTCCAACCTAGCTTTGAAGAGTCCTGCCACCCCATTCCATGCGGTATGCCGACTGGCTCTGCTTCACGACCCTCTCGGTACATAATGCAGGACCGATCGTCTCGCAGTGCCTAATCTGGAGGATGGAGTGGACAGCAATCCACGAGAGCTCCCCCCCTTCCCTCCCTCCATCGCCGCAGCCGAAAGAGTGGAGAGGATGTTTTCCTCCTAACAATAATCCTTTCATTTCAGCTGTCAATCTCCCAGCTCTCAGTGTCTCCAGAGAACCGTGTTTCCAAACCTCCGCTGCCGCCCTCTAACAGAGCTGTGCTCTCCCATTTCTCTGAGGCTCAGGAACGAGCACACGAGGTAAAAGAAATAGAAGGGGCTCTTGCACCCAAGATCTTGCCAGGGGGCTCTTGGGCATCCTTGCATGTCAGGGCAGCAAGTCCCTTAATATTCGACTAAGGAAGAATGGATTTCCCCCTGCCCATTCTTTTATTGTTTTAGAATCTCACCAATAATTTCTCTGTGATCCAATCTTCCTTATTTTTAGTTACATTCTCTGTCTCAGGTGACCTGTAGGACCTAGGTAAGGGAAAGACAGAGAAGATGTTGTGCTAGAGTTCCGCTTTCCTGTAGAACAATACAGCAAATGGCTATGTGAACAGCAACATGCTAACCACAGACACAGTGTGATGGGGGGGTGTCCCATGGGAGCAGCAATGAGAAGCAGCCTCTCTGGGGGATGGGGAGTAAACCTACCTAGTTTTGCACCAGACTGTACCCCTGGTATATTTTTAGAATGGGTAAAATAGGTGGCTTCCTTTATTTAATATACTTACAAAGCTCTTTGCCTCCCCGCCAATACCCATTCAGGATTAGGACCAGTATTACCTTAGGGTGCGTTCAGATGGGCAGCTAATACCGCAATTGTGGCCTGGCTCTAATTTGATACCAATCTTTTTTATCCAGCATTGCATGAGCAGACAGCTCCCCTTACCGCGCACGCACTCCACGGTGGATTGTCTAGACGGCATCCTCCTGAAGGAGCTGCGCGGTTGGGTTTGTGAAAAAAATTCTGTTTGTGCATGCGCATCTGTGCCTCAATGTGTACTTGTTTTTCCGCGCATGCGCAGAGTTGAATGGTTAAAGCACCGCCAGTGGTACCTTCCTCTAGGTATCTTTTTAATTAACACAGTTCATAAAATTCACGGGCCGTTTAGAAACATGAAATTGTCCGGAATGTTTGAGCGGAGCTCTGCGGCTGTCGCACGTTTAAGTGTTTATGCGCATATCGCTAAGAATTTTTTTTAAATGGCACCCACTCGGGATGGTCTGACGTCAGACCATCCCAACGGGCTGATTGTGCGATGAAACAATCAGACGGGGAAAAGTCCGTCAGTGGCCTGTCGGGAAGCAACAACACTGGACTTGCACCAGTGTCTTTTAAGTACAGCTCTGTAGCGCTGCAAAACCGGATGATCACGGAAGAGGCACGTTTCCCAGATGTTGCTGTCTGGTCATTACCCTTAAACCTGCCAGGCACTCGTGCCTGGTGCGAATCTAAAGACCCATCTGATCGGGACCTTAGAGTCATATTTACAGTCATGGTCCAGAGTTTAAAAGACACACACAAGTTTTTTTAAAAAACATTTGATGTCAAAGTTGCTGGAAAAGTGAAATTCTGTGATGTTTCACTCAAGCCAAATGTGTCCATATTTGGCTTTCATTAAAACCTGATTTGAAAAAGAAGAAATGAAAGCTGAAATTCTCGGGGATGCGAATTCTGCACCTAGTGCCACATTCACGTTTCTCCTGGACTTGTGTGGGAATTGAGCAAAGCTGTCTCTGTTGCTGAGCCTGGAAAACACGAGGGGCGCATCAGCATGGGAATGATGACATAATTTGGAAGGCAGCTGGTTTATCCTGGGAGCAGGTAGGCAGAACTAACCAAGAGGCTGCCATCAGCGTCAGGAGCCCCAGACTCTGTTGTGGAGGAAGGGAAGGGGATAGGTCAGCATTCTCAGTGGTCCAGATATTTCTGGCTGGTCCTCTGAAGTTGTCTTGCCCATGTATTCAGAACCTAAAAAGGTTAGTCAAGAATAGAAGAGGGCCACCTCTAAAAATCTAATTATGAAACATACAAAAATTGACATGTATTTATTCAACACAAATTAAAATAACAAATAAGGGCCCATTCATACCTCATATACAAATATAAAAACATACAAAGGCTAATGAAATAGACCTAACGCGTTTCGGCCTTTACAGGCCTTCCTCAGAGGTCTAATACAGACAGAACATGTTGGCTGATATGTAAAAATATATACAATCATGCATATACAAAATATGAAATAAAGACCAGAAAACAATTGTTCCAAAGTTTAACCACTGGGCAAAGAAAAGAAATACAAAAATACAAATGAAGCCTCCAGTGCAATCACATGTCCAGTAGTACTTCTCTTTGATCAACTATATATTCTCCTGAGATTGTACAGCCAAATGTTCCCAATAAAATGTTCCTTAAGTTAAAAGCAGGCTTCATTTTTATTTTTGTATTCAATTTGTGTTGAATAAATACATGTATATTTTTGTATGTATCATAATTAGATTTTTAGAGTTGACCCTCTTCTATTCTTGACTAACCTTTTTAGGTTCTGAATTCTAGGTTTTAGGTTCAGGTTTTTCACCTTTTCTCTTTTTCCCTTTTCGCCCATGTACCCAGCAGTGCACATTTCTGCCTGCTTCCTATTTGAAAGCGTATCATTTTGATTTTTTTTTCATTCTCTAACAGCGCAGCCCACTGGGAGGCATCAGCCATTTGGAGTATGACCTTAGCTACAGCTCACCGGTTCAAGAAGCCTCATCCAACGACCAGCTCCAGGAGTTGCCATTCACACCGATTCACATGCCCATTATGGCTCTTGGGGCACACTCAAGAAGGTGAAATTGGGGAAGGTGAGGTTGGGGGGTGGGCCACATTATCTTGCTGTAATCTGGGCCTTGGCTCAGCGACATGGCATCTGCTTTGCATGCAGAAGGTCCCAGGTTTAATCCCTGGCATCTCCAGTTAAAAGGATCAGGTAGTAGGTGATGTGAAAGACCTCCACCTGAGACCCTGGGGAGCTGCTGCCCATCTGAGTAGACAGCACTGACCTTGATAGACCAGTGGTCTGATTCAGGATAAGGCAGTTACAACAGCTGTGTAACAGAGGCCACTGTTGTTATCCCCATATTACAGATGTGGCAAATGAGGGGGAGAGAGAGAGAGGCTTGCTGAAAGCTGTCTCCCGAGTTTCTGGCACAGCAGAGATTTGAACTGGGGAGCCTTCTAAGTCACAGCTCATTCTGCTAGCTGCTATGCTACACCATCCTCCTGCAGCTTTTGATTAGGTGGTTCTCCCAGACATGCTCTGGGAAACACAAGTTGAGAGTCTCTGGTGGCACGTGGTCTCCCCCAGAGTCAAAAGGCTGCTGTCCTTCAGCTCTAGCATGACCCTTACACGGGCTTCTCTTGCCCGCCTGCGTGCCTCTGGATTTCCCGAGATCCTGGACTGCAACAAGGAGCCTGCCCAAGTTGTGGATCCTGTGGACCCCGTGGACTTCAACCCACAGCGGGAAGAAGCTGACTTCTTGCAAAGCAATGAAATCGTCCTTCAGTTCCTCGCATTTACAAGGTAAAAGTCCCAAGATCTGACTTTCTACATTCATTTCTTCTAGAGCTGAGCAACATCCAAATGGTAGCCTCAGCATCTGGGATAGCAACTTCTCCTGGTTTTAAAAAATTGAGATCTTCTGATTACTCCAAGGGAAGGCATTGTCCAGCTTGCCACTGGTTTCTAGTTGTACAAGGAAGGAAGCTGATATCAATGGCCCCATTTGGATCATATAGGCCATGCTTCCTATTTATCTACCCAAAGCCATTGGGTACTCCCCATACAGATGGGTCTCCTGCCATGGGGACCAATGGGTCATCTTCAGTGGAGCAGCCTGGATGTTATGTCTGCAAGTATCCAAGGGCTTAGGTTTCTCAAAAGGGGTCTTAGATCACGCCCCCCCACCCCTTTTGCCTCTTAGGCAGTCCACCCACCAGCTGTATAATAGTACATGGGAGGCATTTGTATCATGGTGTTGTGGCAAGGCATCACAGCCAGGATATGCTAGGGTCAAAACAGCTTGGGTTGCTTAGGGGTCCAAACAGCCAGATGGATTGCTTAGGGGTCCAAACACCAATCCCTTGTACAGGCAGGAAACTGAACTAAACATAATGCTGACCTTTTTTTTTTTAAGTGGCGGTAGTGGGGGAAGTCCCTGTCTTCTCATCCCCACATATGCAGTCTTGAAGAATGTATGATTTTTTAAAATCCATTTTCCTACATGGAACCTGCATTGGGTTCTGGATCCTCTGGTAAATCCCCCCTTTGAGTCTCATCCAAAGTTTCTCTTAAAGAACCTGCACTGAAAACCATCTTTGAAGCCCACCGGTGAGGTCTCATTTTCCTTGGTGGGTCTGGATTGTCATGTATAACCAATCTATGCTTTCCCCCTTTGGGCTGGGCAGCTGTGCTATGGGTGGACTCCTCCCTGTTGCCTGCAGCAGATTCTAAATTACACAGAACCCTCCTTGTGCCTGGTTTGTCAGAGGGATAAGGACAGGCATAAAGGACATGTTATGAGGGCTTTCTAAAACTTTGCCTCAGTAGAGATTTCCAGGTCTTTCTAAGGCCACTATTGCTGGCTGGCTCCAGAAACGGATTTACATGTCAAGCAGCTGGGAACTTCCTTCCACAGAGCATTGCGGTTTGAGGAGCATCTAAATCTGCAGCCTTCGCGGGTAGGAGAAAAGATCATCCAAGGAGGAGATCTATAGAACCATCCTGGAAAAGACCTGCCTGTGTCTGGCAGATCCTTACCAGCAAGGGACACTGTTACAGCCTCTCACAGGTCTTCAGATGCCCCTTTTCTGGCAACATCAGGAGTTGCAAAACAAGAAACACCACTGACTGAAAATAAACAAGTACATAATAATCATATAAGCATAAAATCAAGTATAATGTAAATCATTTGGCCAAAGTGCAGTGATGAAACATATAAGAAGAAGCACCATCTATAGTCTTTCCATGTGTCTTGCTCCAGCATAGAAGCAAATATCAATTATCAAAGTCCAAATTGAAGTATATATCATCATTGAAGTGTATATCATTGAAAGCTTTGTATATGCCAGCTCTTGAGATTGGGTCCCATTACAGCCATGCTTGAATAAGAATTATTCGAAACGCGGCATCAGGCATCCGGATTACGCATCAATGATATACACTTCAATTTGGACTTTGATATTTGCTTTTATGCTGGAGCAAGACACATGGAAAGACTATAGATGGTGCTTCTTCTTATATGTTTCATCACTGCACCTTGGCCAAATGATTTACATTATACTTGATGTTATGCTTATATGATTATTATATACTTGTTTATTTTCAGTCAGTGGTGTTTCTTGTTTTGCTTCTTGTACTGTACACTGGCTTTCCCCCCTTTTTTTGGCAACATCAGAAGTTGGCCTTGTCTTTCATCCAGGAAGAGGCACTATCCCAGATGCCGAGGTTGCCTTCTGAACATGTCTAAGGACAGGAATTCATTGTCAGTAAAATTCCCTTTCATTCTTAGCAAGGTTTCCAAAAGTTGTCTCGAATTCTTTCCCCCCTTCCTGATCTGGGCACATAGCACTGCTCACCCCCCCCCCAAAAAAAAAGCTGTGTGGTACTCCCCCAAAGGGACTGTTCTTCTAGGCTGCAGAGAGCTGTTCCTGAATTAGTCCTGTGTTTTGGACCCGGCACAGAGAAACAGTTTCAATTATTTTGTACGAGCGTCAAGCCTGACAGATTCCTGTACCCAAACAGGAAAATTTTGGTGGCGCTCTCATTTAATCCCTAAAAAGAAATAGAAACATCCTTGTTTATTACCTTCCTTTTGCCCAGCCATCCCGCGCCGGTGGCTGACATTCTCGGCAGCCTTTCCTGAGAGAGTTGGCGGGAATTTGGTGGCGGCTTGTCTGACACTGTTTACCGCGACTGCCATGGAAACGAAGCCACCTAGAACAGCCTGTAGGGATAGCAGCCATCCCATCTGAGAGCTTGTCAAATGATTTCCCCCCCTTTGGCATCACAGATTGTCATGTAGAAATTGATTCCTGCTCTCCTTGCTCATCATTACCCCCTAAACATATGGCCTGGGAAGCTTCCTCTGGAACAACTAAGCACTTGTGATGCCATTATTTGTATAGGAAGAAACATCCCTGCTAGTGCCAGACTGTTTGCTAATGCATGTCCACAGCCACAAGAACTACAGGCTTGCCGGGGGGGGGGGGGGGGGGGGGGGGGCTAGTAAGTACAGAAAAAGAGAGCTAAGGAATTTCAAAGTGGATTGTTCCAAAGAGGGGGAATTTTGTAGCCTGGCCAGTGGGAGACTGGAGCTCCCTCACAATACAATTGCAAGCTGAGTTACACCCTCCTAAGCCTGTGCTCGCGCTGTTATTTACTTCTATTTATATCCTGCCCCATCTGGAAAACTTGAGGGACATAAGAAATACACAGAGCAGCGAAAAGAGACGAACTGAGGCTTCTGCTGAGTCCCCATCATTTCCAACCCCAACCCAGATCCCCAAGGTGCATTGCAAACAGGCAGGTTTTACAAAGCTTTTGGTGAGTCTGTCTTAGGAAGAGATTCCACTGACACAACATGCAGAGATGTAGCAGGATGATGTAGCAAGACCAGAGCAGGAAGTCATGCTGAGAGACAACGGGCAGCCTCTCTGTGGGCGGGGCGCTTTGGGCCTCCCAAGAGGCTTTTGTCATTTTAACTGTTTCATTTCTCACGACACACTAGCTTGCTCTGTTTGGGAGTTTCGGTTTTGTGGTGTGGGATGGAGCTACATTCCAAGATTTCCACCCAGACCGTTTTAACTGTGTTCTGTTTCTTTGGTTGTTGTTCAACAAGGACCACTCAAGACAGGACAACCTCAGTGACGTGGTCAAAAACCATCTATTTCACCTTCCAGTTTTACCGGTTCCCTCCAGTTACAACGCCACGACTGCAGCTGCTCAAGGCAGATGCCTCTGGGACTGTTCCGTCAGGTGCCTCATCTCATATCTTGGTGCAAATTAACCAAGATGGGACCCCGAACCTTGGTAAGGCCTGAGGGTGCCAGGGGTTCACACTCTTCCCCCTATCGAAGTCCCAGCATAATTCCTCTACCTAACCCCCGCTTTCCCCTGTGCTTCTCCTTTCCTACACCCCCCCCCCACTTCCTATCATGCCCGTGTCTTAAATCTAAGCAGCAGAGAATCTTTTTGCCCACCTTTCCCTTCTCTGACCTCAGAGCAGCACAGCCAATCACGGTCACAACTGACTTGATTGGAACATCTACCATGTGTAGGTGTCCAGGTATACTTGAACTTAGCCGTCGGGATCTTTCCCAGTGCTAAATATAGCACGTAAAAGGCAGGTTCAGTCCCCACTGCGGATCATACTTTTGGATACGATAGAAGCAATTGCCTTCAGCTGCCAGTCAGCAAAATCCTTCCTCCTGCTGCAAGCACAACAGAGGTGGAAGGTTGAAGGGTGACCTGAAAGAGAGTTTAAGTCTGGTTATTAATAGCTCAACAGCATGTCTGTCAGCTGACACTCAAAGATGAGATAATAGGACACGGAACCCCCCTGCTGCTATCATTCTCATTCTCGTAGAAGATGCCACCGTCCAGAGGTCTCTCTTCAGATCTCAGATTCCAGGGTAATTTGCATCTTCTCCCCTGCCTCTAACCATCGGTGCAGTGATGGAGCTGGAGAATTAGGTCATAACTGTGCACACCAAGTTTCGTGGAGGCCTCCCTCAGTGCTCAAAGGAAACGTCCCACGGCTATCATTTCCCTGATGCAGGGAATGGGCTGGTGTTCTGGCTTCAGAACCGTGTGTTTTGCACCCCCAGATTTCCTTCTGGTGTCTCAATCTTCAAGGGAGATGTCGTGTTACATACTTACAGGGAAATGCTAATTTATGTGTGTATGTATTCATTTCTCCCCCATGAGGACCTGACATGGCTTACCTTGCTCTCCTCTCCTCCATTTCATCCTCACACCAATCCTGTGAGATCAGTTAGGCTGGGTGTCTGTGACTGGCCCGTGGTCACCCGACAAGATTCCATGGCAGCGTGGGCATTCAAACATGGGTCTCCCAGATCCTAGTCCAACGCTCTAACCTCAGCAACCACACTGGCTGGCATGTGTAATTTAAACATGGCACAGAAATGTGACTCTAAGAACCTAAGAAGAGCCCTGCTGGATCAGACCAGTGGTCCATCTTGTCCAGTATCCTGTCTCACACAGTGGCCAACCAGTTCCTATGGAGGGCCACCAACAGGCAGGGCTGCCAAGCCACGGCGGGGGATCCGTGCGTCTTCACAGGATCCCTGCCGCGAATGACAGCGATACGCGTTGCACTGCCGTCGCCAGGATGTGACGCTATGCGTCGCCCAGCAATGGGGCTGTTTGGAGTCCCGTTGCCAGAGCGACGCCTAGCGTCACATTCTGGCGACGGCGGTGCAACGCGTATCGCTGTCCCCCGCGGCAGGGATCCTGTGAAGACGCATGGATCCCCCGCCGCGGCTTGGCAGCCCTACCAACAGGGCATAGAGGCCGAGGCCTTCCCATGAGGTTGCCTTCTGGCACTGGGATTCAGAGGTTTACTGCCTCTGCATGTGGAGGTGCCCCTCAGTCACCATGTCTAGTAGCCACTGATAGGCCTATCCTCCATGGATCCCTTTAATCCCCTTTTAAGGCTGTTTATTCCTGTCACCATCACTACATCCTCTGGCAGCAAATTCCACATTTTAATGACTCTCTTTGTAAAGAAGTATTTCCTTATTGACTATTTGTGAGGAAAAAGTGTCAGGTCTCAATAAGCATCAGAGCTGTAATTTAAAAATCTGGATTGCTGACTCTGGCATTCACTAAGCGTTCTGAAGCCCCGACCTATCTGAGCAGCCGATCTGTAGACATCCAAACTGTTTTTCTCTGCAAAAGTGCTTTTGTTTAATTTCGTTTAGCTGATCCTGGGAGAGGCAAAGCCATGTCCTGTGTCCTGCTGAGCATCTTCAGTTCATAAAGTCCCCTATGAGGAATAGCTAATGGGAATTAAAAAGAAAAGGGGGGGGGAGACGCACATCAGTATAATTCTGTGCTGGGAGAAGATGTTCCCTGTGCAACTTCAAAAGTTACTTAGCCAGTTCTTTCATAATGGCCTTAATCATGCTGTTTGCTACAGTGCAGTTTCTTTTTTAAAAAGCTGTTGAGGGTTGGTTGCTTACAACGGAAATGAAGTCCTCATCCCCCCTCCGGTTCTTGATCTGTATCTATCGACAGTCACAACTGCAGCTTCATTTCTGATTTCCTCCTTTCTGTACCTCCCATCCCCCAACAGTAGCCAGGTGATATAATTTTGCCAATGCAACCCAATGCGCAGACTGGCAGTGGCTCTCCAGGGTCTCAGGCTGAGGTCTTTTGCATCACCTGCTACCTGATCCTTTTAAGTGGAGATGCTGGGGATTCAACCTGGGACCTGCACGCAGATGCTCTGCCACTGACCCATGACCTCGCCAGTTGTTTTAAGTGCCTTGCGGCAAGGGCCCATCCTTTGCTTAATGACAGTATCTGCTTTCTTGGCAGGTTCCCCGGGGTTGCAGGTGAAGTACATGGTGGATCCTAGTTCTCTCAAGCCAGGGGAGCAACGGTGGTTCATTCGTTACCTCGCAGAGCATTCCCTGCAGATTGATGCCTGGGACGGGGATTCCTTGCTTCTTGTTGGATCGGCTGCCGTGAAGCTGAAGGTGGGGACCCAGTTCCTAAATACTATGTCAGAAATAACTCTTGGAAAAGAGGAGCCCCGGGGGCTGTTATTGAGATTAAAATAAGAAGATCTGGAGATGACCTTCTATTTAGCCATGCACTTAAGTCTCATGGCATTTACTGTCTATGGATTATCTAGCCACTTTATTTAGGTGCCGTGCAAAATAAGAAACATACCCCCAAGGAGACCTTTAAACCTTATTAAGAACGTAATGCCGCACCCCACCCGAACTGAAATGGTTTTCCTGCTTTACATATGTCAAAACGGAGCTCAAACTGTTCTTCTGTGGTAAAGTACACACGGACGCTCTTGGATCATGTCTGGTCAAAGACATATTTCTCAGTGGGCATCTGTTACATCAGAGGCTAGTTCAAATCGGTATGTGGTATTCAGTCCAGTCTCTCTTCATGTGCTTCCCCCCCCCCCAGCAGACTCCTTATCCTTCAAACTCCAGCTCCCTCAGTCTCATCAATAGCAAACAGCCCCTCTTAATCCCTGGGTCTCTCCACACCAGCCACATTGGTTTTACAAATTTCCCTTGCTGTGATGGTACTGATCACGACTTCTCTCCCCCAAGTCTTACGGCATTCCAGGTGCTCTTCTCCAGTGTTGGGGGAGGCAGGGCAGTGGCTTGCCAGTCACGAGGGAGAAGTAGCCATCAAGCTTTCGTTGTTGTCCCGTCACACAGTTGAGTCCAACTCTCCGCGACCCCTTGGACCACATCACGCCAGGCCCTCCTGTCAAGCGTTTAGCCTGTCTTTGGTTCCTGCCACACGGCAGGAAAAACGACGGGCGAAGTGCGGCTAATCTGAGCCGCACCAAAGTTGAGACGCCGCGGCGGGATCCCACGGATCCCCTGAGCCGCGGCGCCGTCGCTCCCTGGCACAATCAGATGCCGGGGAGAAAGCGATGGTGGGAATGGGAGGCTGGCGAACTGCGCATGCTCACACATGCGCAGTTCGGCCACGAGCACGGGATGCGCCGGCGCAAGGACGTGCCGGCGATCCCACGGCCACACTTGCCACGGCCCTTCAGGATGAATCACCCAGGTAGGTGGTTCTTTTTTGGTGTGGGGTTTTGGGCGGGAGGGACGGATCGGGGACGGCCGGGAAACGCTTCCCAGATGTTGCCGTGGGATCGCACCCATTTGCCGCGCATCCCTTCTGTCCCTCTCCCGGCCCATTTCCTCGCGTGTGACCGGGGCCTTAGAAAGTCAACATATAGTACCAGTAGTAGCTAATTCTGTTGGTGAAGCGAGAGCTCTCATGGCCAGGCATGTGCTTGTCATGTAGAATCCCCAAGTTTCATCCCCGGCATCTCTCGTTAACAGGGCGGCGGGGCTGGGAAGTCCCTTAACCAGAGGCTGTGGCACACTGCCACCAGTCAAATGAGACAGTACTAGACTGGATGGATCTCCTGGCCTAACTCAGCATCTTCCTGTGTTAATTAGGTGCAGGTTATATGCAGGTTAACTACAGCCCTTCAGACGATAAACCTCCTTGAAAGGATGTCCAGTGCAGATAACTTTGCTAAATTATTACATAGGGTTTCCTCCTGGATCATTGAGACTTCTGTCCCAGGATTAAGATCAGAATCATCAGTACGGTTTTGTCTTTTAGACTGTATATTTTGCAGCCAATGAGTGGCTTCCCTGACAGCAGCTGCCTGTGACTCCACCAACGATAACATTTAGTAACACTAAAACAGGTGACATGGCATAATTACTTTGTTAGGCTTTCTCCCCAATGGATCTACACTTCATCAGCACCATTTTTCAGCATGGGGAATCTCACAGATGTGATGATACACACACTTGACATCATTAAACACTACACGGAGAGGAAGGAGCAGGAGATGTGGGACTGCTGCTCTCAGCGGTATAGTTCGGCCAATGTTCCCTCTAAGCTGTGGAGTCTTGTGAGCAAAAATTCTACTTTGTGAGCTCCTGGCATTAAAGTTGTGAGCCAGCGATTTGGCTACGGCATAAATTAGTTTGCTCTGGAGCTCTCCTTCCTGAGCTGAGGCAAAAATGTGTGAGCCAGAGACTAAAAAACTGTGAGCTAGCTCACACCAACTCAGCTTAGCGGGAACACTGGTTCCAGCCTAAGTAGTTTCAAGGATATCCCCCCAACAGTTGAAGAGGGCAGGTCTCTGCTTGAGCCCACACTCTTCTGCACAGGACCCCATCACCAGTCTGAATTAGCCACCACGGAGATGTGTTCCCCCCAAGCTCAGGACGGGCTTTTCCTTGTTTCACAGCACTTGCTCCGCCAGGGCCGGACGGCAGTTCAAGTACACCATGACCTGGAAGTCGTCATTATGGAATACAAGCAAGATGCTCCCGTGATGAGCAGGGAGCTTCTCAGGCCTGGAGGTGTGAAACCTATTGGAGTCCATGCTGTCGTGAGAGGCCAGCTCCATCTGAGCCTGGCTAATGTCGGTAAGAGCCCTGGCTGTTCAGGCATCTGCATTTGCTTTCCTGAAGAACTCTTGACTCTTTAGCATCCTGGGAAGAGCCCTTCCTAAGGAGAGGCTCCAACAAGCACCAGGGGTTCCATAGACGCTTGTCTTGATTCAGCCCAGACTGATTTTGATCATGCCTGGAAGCTGGTTGTCAGAATATCTCCTTGCAGTTGGGAGCATCGGTTGTATCGCCCAGAGTCGGAAGGGTGGGCGGATGCTCTTAGAATCCAGCATTCGCTCTGGCTTAGCTGATTTTTTTAATGAGCTCAAGGACAGCTCTGGGACTCACTACAGCTGGACCGGTCCATGTTAAGACCTTCTCGGGACCCTCCCCGAGTCAGGGTGTGACCTGTCCGAGCACATGGTTTAGTACTCAGTATGTCTCCCGGCAGCTGGGTGCCTCAACCAGTAGAGCAACGGTGGGACCATTCAGAGAGCCTTTTCAATTCCTCGGGAGGGGAAATTCCCTCATTGCATTACAGGAGTGCATTATCTCCCCCCGTGCCCCGGCACCGGTAATAGAATCGCTTTGTTGCAGCTCGATCGAAATACACAGGTCATTAATTCTGCTTAGTCTTGTTTACAAACAGACAATACAAGGCGGCTTTGAAGGAGACAGTATGGAAATGGAGACACTCAATTAGGTGCCAACGAAACAATAACACAAGGGACATGCGAGGCATTGGGGGGGGGGAGCCGTGTAAAACCATACCCAGAGGGATGGGGAATTCAGACTCCCGAAAAGGCCGAGCACCGCTGGCTTCATAGCAGGAGCTTTAATTCACCGCCTGTAAAAAGGCAGAGAGACACCAGCTTTTTTCCTCCTTTTTTTATAAATCTTATCTTCAGAAGAAAGATTAGCTTCCATTCTACCATATCATAAATTGACATTTCATACTTTGCCTGCAAGAGAACGATAAGCTCTTTTGCAGAGCATCGGGGTGAAGGGGGGAGGGAAACGGGGCCGAGATTATCAATCCTGACTTGATTCAGAGACTAGACTAGGCAGGAAAAACGGTCTACTGGCGAAGAGCCGACGGAAAGGACTCTGCACGGCTATCGGGTGCACAGCGCCTCTCTCCTCTTTGATTTTGCAGCTCAGCATTCTTTGATACCGAAACATTGTCGGGCTGCATTTTTTTTAGGGAAGAAAAAGTATTCTTATGAAGATGTCTGGAGTTGGGACTGCTGAGCGGCAGTGACCGTCTTGTGAGCGGAGACCAAATTGACTGGCATGATCAGGCACACAACAGACCGGGCTCGGCAGGGGTGATCCTCCGCAAATGCCAGATCCGTCTCTTCCCTTTTCGTTCCGGGAATCAAAAGGGACCGTGATGGAAAGGCTGCCCTCAGTCCCGGCCCTCTTCTACCTCCCTCTCATTATCCTAATTAAGATCTTGCTTCTTGATAGTTCTTTGCTGCCACCAAAATCATGTCACTTCTTCCATTTCGCTGCCATGCAGACCCAGCTCGACAGACACAGCTCCCCCTGCCGTTCTCCCTTATGGCACACGAGCCGTTTCTCATGCCTTCCGTGCTGCTTGGTGCGGCAGTGGGTAGAGGAGCAGGATGCAGGGATTTGATTCTCCTCTTTCCCAGACCCCTTCTTTTAACTCTCTTTGAGAAGTTCATTTCTTTGCTCCATTGAGTTCACAACTGATGTGGATCACCACCATCCTCGTTCTTGTACGTCTTTCCTTTCTTGGCTTTCGGGCCCAACATCTCCTCCTCCTGCCCTCTCCACTTCTCTTCCTATTGTTACTTCTGGTGATTCAAGATCTGTTGAGAATCCTTCGGCTTAGCATTTCCTCTTTCATCTGGATTTTTTTTTTTTTGCTCTCACCCTGTCCTCTCCTGCTTCTGCTAATTCTTCCCTTTTGTTATCACATCTTAGAGCTTCCTGTTTCTTTAAGCTGCTATGTTCCTGAATCATGAGCATATGCCATTTCCTCTCCCTGATCACTTTAAGGTCTTGGATTCTGTTTCTCTTCCTCCTCCACTTCCTGGATCAGCATGGCCTGCGTCCTATGAATTCTTCATCTCTTTCTTACAGTCTCTTGATTTTGCTGTTGCAGTCTTTTCCATTTGGTGTTTCTCTCGATTTTAGACTTTTTCTTTCCTCTTTTTATTTTCCTCATCCCAACCAACCTATCTTATTTCCCTTCTTATGTTTACATTCATTTACTGAACATTTTCTGGCCCTGATATCCATCTTTGTGACTTTGGTCCTTATAAATATTTGTTTTTAATCTGTTCCTCCAATTTTATTATCTGTGAAGCAGTCTTACTTATTCCGCTTTATTCCCTCTTATCATCCTTGTTGTCTTTTTGGGTAAACTTAGTTCTCTTTGTGGTCCTCCACTCCCACCTGTTCCTTCTTAAGTTTCTCATGACTATTTTCCCCAATATCAATAACATTTACCATCTGTTCTTTTCTATTCTCCTTTTTGTTGTGATATTCTTTCTTGTTGTCCTTAGATCTTAACAAATCCTCCCTCCCTTTTCCACTTGTGTCACATTCTTCAGTGCTCCGAGGTAGACTGCTGTCCATCTCAGAGACAAGTGACAACTATCTGTCTTCCAACTTTGGTGATTTATGTCTAGGCACTGTATACAGTCCAACAACTTTGCATATAAGGACACAGAAGTTATTAGCTCAAAATAAATGGCATAAGTCTTTTGTGGTATGTTTATGAACTGAAAAGATTAGAAAGGATTAAAACGATTTTAAAAAGTCAAACACCCCTAATTTACAGAGGTTTAGGTTCCGCGTTGAACCGGAGGTGATTTTTACCACTGGAGATCAGGCAGGTAGCTATTTGCAAGCTTAGAACAGAAGCAGGTAAACAGCAAAGGTTCTTCATTGAACAGCAGCCTAGAAGATCTTGGGGAATGTGAAAGCGTGTTTTGCCAGGTTCCTTGAAGGATGTGGACAAAGGAAAGAGAAATTGGCTCGCGTTCAGTCCCCTGAGAGCAGAACGTATCAGGGAGAAAAAGAAAAAGGAACCAAACGTCTATTTGAAGAAGTCCCACCTTTCCCGGAAATCTTAATCTTCATTTACAACAGCCGAGAAATAGAGGAAGCAACGGATTCTCACACGTCTTTGCTGAGGGAACTTGGCTTCCTTGCATTCTGCTAATCAAAGATCCTCTTATGCAACAAGAACAAAAAAAAAGGCCTTAAGATGTCTCCTTTGATAACTTTCCTTTCTGGAAAGGGGTGTAGGTTTAGATGGGGGGTATTGAAAGAGAGTTTGGGCAGAGTTCTAAGCTGGCAGGTTGAGTTGGAGATCAAAGGAACCGGCGGCCTCTTAAAGGGACTGGATAAGCCCTGCTATTATATATATCAAGGTATTTATTTCCAAAAGGCAAAGGAGGCCAGCTAAGCTCTGTTCCAGTGTCAAAAAGGTGCAAAACAGGGTAAGGCAATTGCCATAAAGAGGGAAGAAACCAATACTTGCTGGGGCTGTTGGGGATACTGCATTAACCATTGTGGTACCTTTGCTGCCTTGTCCTGCAGCGTCTTCCCGATACATTGCATCCAAAAAAACCCCACAAGCCCTTGTTTGCAGAGTCACCTTTATTATTAACATTGCTCCGGGGAAGGTAAACTTTGTTTGCTGTGGCTTATTTGTTCTGTTTCTTCTTGTCAAAAAAGAAGAAAAAAGAAAAAGAAAGAACTAGCCTGGAGCTCTGAGAGATCTGAGGAAAAAAGAGGAGCAGGGGAGGAAAACCCACTGTAAAAATTCCATTCAAGAAGCATGTTTTCCATATTCTAAATTTTAAGAATTGGGTAAGCAGCTTTAAACATTGCCTGATGCTTATCAGATCTGGAGCTTTGGGAATAAGGGAAGCGCTCTCCTCTGTGTATATTTGCATAATCTATACATCAGTTCTTAGTTTACAGTCACGCTGTGGCACAACTGACAGAGGTCCGCCCTGACTTGCTAGCTTCTTTTTGTAGGGCACCTCTGCGAGCAGAGGCTGAGGAAATCAAGCGTCTTGCCTCCTTCCCGTTCCCGGATCGTGTCTTCACATGATGGAACCAGTGGCTTCCACGGGGGCAGCTTGCTCTCTATCAACAGTCACAGCAGTAAGTCGATCTTTTTTTTGGTTTTTTTCGGCATTGTTAACCTAGGGTTCAGTGTAGGAGGTGGGCAGGAGCACAAACAGGGAAGTGGCAGGAGGATCTGAAGAAACACCAGCAGCGGTCCACTTTTCCTCCCACAGCCAATGAGCAATGACAAAGAGGATAGAGGCAACCAATGGGCACTCTACCCTGGGCCTGGTAGACCAATCGGTAGACTGTTCTGTCATGCTCCTCCCCCTCTCCTTCTTGCTGCGTTTAACATGTCAGAGCAGTTGCTGTTCTGCAGTGGAGCTCGGTTTTCTAACCTTCAGGTGGGGACCTGGAGATCCCCGGGAAGTGGAACTGATCTCCAGACTACAGAGTTCAGTTCTCCTGGAGGAGAAGGGATGCTTTTGAGCATGGACGTTATGGCACGTTGCCAAGTCGATCGGAGCTCTGTGGCGGGGGGACTCCCGGCAGGCGTCTTCAGCGTCTCTAGGAATTTCCCAACTTGGAGGTGGCAACTCGGAATGGAATTGTAGGGGGCACTGCCTGGAATGAAACCCGGAGAGGAGGGCAAAATTGACAGAGTGCCCCCTCCAGTGCACAGAATGAGCAATCATCAAGGTAGAAAGGAAGCGAATCAATGGATCCTAAGTAAGCAAGCATGTCCCACGGCTCAGAAAGATGTAACTCTGCTTAGGGCTGCATGGGAAGTCATAGGAACCTCAGATGTGAAGTGAGTCAGGCAGGAAAGTGCGAGAAAGCGTCTCGAAGATAGCAGAGAAAGATGAAGCGGTCTTTGGGAGCTGGCAGTGAGCTCATCAGTCATTTTGTGGAGGGGAGTTAACAGTGGAGTGCTGAGGGCAAGAAGCTCGGCTGTACGGAGTGGAGAGAGGAGGTGGGGGAAAGAAAGCCAAGACAGCCGTGGGAGTCAGCAGCTTTCTCTAGGAGTTTGGAGGCGCAGGTTGGAAAGGACTGTAATTGGAGAGGGAGGATGGATTTTTTTTCTTTTTGCACCAGGAGGAAAACAGTGCTTTGTCTGCATGCAGGAGTGAAGGAGACAGAGAAGGACAGGGTGATTATGGGAGAATAACAAAATCGGCAGTCAGGAGGGGATAGAATTAAGAGGGGCAGGGCAAAGTCAACAAGGTATGCAAGCTGATCAAATGAGACAGAGGGAAGATAGAAAGCCTTATGGAGTCCCACAATAGGGCAGATAGGGCCCTCTAGGTTGCTCGAGCTTGGGGAAACGGCATGGGAAGGGAGGATGCAGCCACTCATCCCACCCCCCCCCACACACACACACTGTGGTCCCGAGCCAAATCGGGCCAGGGTGTGCTTCCAAACTTTGGATCCCTGCCATGCCATTTGGGGGAATGTATGCCAAATGCAACATCTTGTTTGGACCTCAGTTCAAGCCCCGGTGGATGCCGAGACATCTGAGCTGGCTCCCCTTGCCCCTGAGCACCACTTTCATGCAACACGTTCTTTTCCTGTCCCAACGTTAACCTATGAGCCGTTTTTGTTGTCTAAGCCAATTTGCCGTGACTGGGAGAATGTTAGGTGATAGAGAATCAAATTAAGGGCAGCTAACCTGCAAATAGCACTTATTTACCACTTTATTATTATTATTTTTAAAAAAAACAACAAAGTAGCACAGTTAGGTTAATAAGGAACCTGCATGTAGAAGTCAGTGTTGGAGGAAGTTTTTTTTTTTTGCGGGGGGGGGGGGGGGGGTTTTGAGGCCTTCAAAGGGATCTGTCAAAGATGGGCAAGTGGGCGTCAACATGGCAAATGGGGTTCAATGTGGCCAAGTGCAAGGTGATGCACATTGGAGCCAAAAATCCTAAATATAAATACACGTCGATGGGGTCTGAACTGGCAGAGACTGATCAAGAGAGAGATCTTGGAGTTGTAGTAGATAACTCACTGAAAATGTCGAGACAGTGTGTGACTGCAATAAAGAAGGCCAGTGCTATGCTGGGGATTATTAGGAAGGGTATTGAAAACAGATCAGCCAATATCATAATGCCCCTATATAAATCAATGGTGCGACCTCATTTGGAATACTGTGTGCAATTCTGGTCACCACACCTTAAAAAGGATATTATAGCTTTGGAAAAAGTGCAGAAAAGGGCAACTTGAATGATAAAGGGGTTGGAACACTTTCCCTATGAGGAAAGGTTAAGGCGCTTAGGGCTCTTTAGCTTCTAGAAACGACGACTGAGGGGTGACATGATTGAGGTTTATAAGATTATGCATGGGAAAGAGCAGGTAGAGAAAGAGGTACTTTTCTCCCTTTCTCACAATACAAGAACTCGTGGGCACTCCATGAAATTGCTGAGCGGTCGGGTTAGAACGGATAAGAGGAAGTACTTCTTCACCCAAAGAGTGATTAACACTTGGAATTCACTGCCACAGGAAGTGGTGGCAGCTACAAGCATGGACGGTTTCAAAAGGGAATTAGATAAGCATATGGAGCAGAGGTCCATCAGTGGCTATTAGCCACAAGGTATAGATAGGGACTCTGGGGCAAGTGATGCTCTGTCATCTTGGTGCTTGGGGGGGTCAACAGTGGGAGGGCTTCTAATGTCCTGGTCCCACTGCTGGACCTCCTGATGGCACTGGTATTTCTGGCCACTGTGTGATACAGAGTGTTGGACTGGATGGGCCTTTGGCCTGATCCAACATTGGCATCTTTTATGTTCTTAAAGTAGCACAGTCAGGTTAATAAGGAACCTGCATGTAGAAGTCAGTGTTGGAGGAAGATTTTTTTTTGGGGGGGGGGGAGAGAATTTGAAGCACTGTGTGTTTCAGAGAATCATAGCAGTTGCCAAAGGACAAAGCAGTCTTGTCAAACACCCGAGTAAGCATCCCATAAGCCCAACTCAGATCATTCCCACCGCAATCTCCTGTTTAAAAATAAGTCACATAGGAGAGTGTGACCATCTACGGACCATCTATGGGTCCAGAGCTAACAGACTGGCCAGGATGATTACAAGTACACAGCAGAAATCTGGAACCTGGGCACAGTGAACCTGCCATCAAGTAAGACCAGAAATCAGGTCCAGTCATCTGGCTAGAGGTCAAGCCATTGAAACAGGGTTGCAGAAAGATGTGCAGTTTGGGCCATGCCTCCCTGGAGAGGACTGGATCCCAGTTCAATTCCTTATTCATTCTTTTAGCACCCCTTTCTCCAGGTGGCCTCTTAAAAGGAGCGCTCGTGACAAATCTGGTGGCTTGTTCAGGAGGGCATATTGATAAACAGAAGAGGATAGTGGTTTTAGAGGATAGTGGTTTTAGACACTTGTATTGTTCATTGGATGGATCACCCTGTTTACTTCAAAGGAAGACTCATTTTTCCCCTTGGAGGGCTGTCAAGAGAAATAGGAGATTATCTTTAATGTTTCACAAGTTACAGGTATGTACTGTAATAAAAACATCTTGTGTATAACCTTTCTTTAAAGAAGGGGAGTCAGCTGACATTAGGGTCATCTTCCTTGGAGCTCATATTTTATATTAGTGGGCTTGCCAACTTCCAGGTGGTGGCTCGGGATCTCCTGGAATCAGAACTGATCTTCAGGCAACAGAGGTCAGTTCATCTGGAGAAAATGGCCTCTTTGGAAGGTGAACTCTATGGCATGATACCCCACGGAAGTGTCAAAAGTCCCGGTCCGCACCCTGGGTAAGGACTTTTGGTTACAAAGGGGTTGCAGCAAGACAAAGTTACCAAATACCAGAGAGAGAGGCTAAATCTCACCCTAGTCTTGGTAGGTGCCACCCGTCCTTTCAGTCTCTCTCAACAGCCCAGGAGGGAAAGGACAAGTCCTCCTGGCTTCTTGGGAATTAACAAGAAAAGTCAGCCCCGCAGAGTGGGACTGCAGACTGAGTTTCCAAGCACAAAACAGTTAGCTGGTAGGCGGTCAAAGGCCAAGGCTCTGGAAGAAGGCTTTGGGGTCAAGGAAGGCAAAAACCACCACAGAATAAAAATATAGTGCAGAAATACTCAAAAAAGAGAAGACTGTGAAGGAAGTAGAATAATTCAATCTAAGCTTCTCCAGCACCGCTAAAACATAGAGTCAAGGTTCCAGTTACCATTATGGCTCAGCGCAGGCAGTTAGTTCCAGCAAACCAAGATGGACCTCAGGGCATAACCCTTCCAAACAGTGATCAAGTGGGATACCAATTTGGGAGCTGTACAACCACTGACATGCCTCAGTGCCAAGTGGTCACAAAGCCCCCATGGCAATAGTGCAAAGGCTAACTAGATTTATGGAGAGGGTCTCTGACTGACCTCAGGCTTGCTTGGCCAATCGGAAATCAGAGAGATGATGTAATTCTCTGTAGGTTGCTAGGCATGTGATGTCCAAGGATGGACTAGAAGGGGAGAGAAATGAAACCATGCTGCAGCTAGGTCCTGCCCTGTTCCCACACAGGTGCCCATAACTTCAGTTGTGTGGAATGTGCTAATTGGAAGGACCAGGGGAAGATGGTACTCCCTAGCACTTCGGCTGCAAACAATTTAGCTGGCAAGGTCACTGTGTCCTACCTATCTCTCGCTGTCTCTGCAGCCTGAACCAAAGATTTTATTTCTCAAAGCAAAGCAAGGGACTGTTTTTCTTCACAGGAAGTCCCTCCCCTCCCCAAATCCTGCCCTCATCAGGCTCCACCCCCAAAATCTCCAGGTATTTCCTAACCTAGAGCTGGCAACTCTATACATTAGAGTCAACATCAGGGTCATCTTCCGTTTGGGCAAGTAGGGTATAGTGGTTCTAATTTCATTGTTCCAATGTTGTATTTTTTGCATGGTTTTACTGCATGGTTTGTTGCAGGGCTATTTTTGGGCAGGAACGCACAGGAATGGAGTTCTGGCTGGCTCCTGAGTTGGCCACACTCAGCCGGCACTCATTGAAACTCATTAGGATTGGCTACAGTAGGCGTGTGTGGCCTAACATGCAAAGGAGTCCCTGCTACAAAAAAAAGGCCCTGGGTTTTGACAACAAACAAGGTAAACAGAATAA